TTTAGCAAATGGCTGCAATATAACAAAGAGTGAAAAATTTAAGGGGGTCTGAATACTTTCCGTACCCACTGTATATTTACAGTAAAAAGTACATATATTTAATTAATTGAATAATGTTAATATATAACATTTATATTCTTTATAATATACTGTCAAACGCCTTAAAAACACAGGTGGTACAGAGCAGTGTTGCGGGTAACGCATTTCAAGTAACGTGAGCTTTTAAATATTAATATTAAATAGTAATATATAAAAGGTGCACAGTGTCATACAAACAAATACAAAACACCATCATGGTAACGCGCATGACACTAAAATAATGCAATAAAAAATAATGACATAAAAATATATTTTTTTCAATTTTGGGAATATCAATTTAATATTTTTTCTCTGCATATTATATATAAGATGACTTATCTTTTTCACTCCAAAAAATGTATTTTACTTTAAAATTACATTTTACCACTGCATTTTAACAGTTAAAAAAAAAAAAATGTCTTTCTAAAATGTCATCAAAATCTTATCTAAAATTCTAGTTCTTCCTGAGGTTTTGTGCTAACCAGTCACAGCTGCAGAGAGAAACAAGCCATTGTGTCAGTCACTTCAGTTTCTGTTCGTTCTGTTGTAATGTGTACCCCTAGTGAAAAATAAATATACTTAAATGTATTTTAAATACATTTATTTCATGCGAAGTATACTACAAATACATTTTAATTTTTATGTACTTAATAAAATATCTTGCAGTTGTACTTTTAGTATACTAAACTGGTATACTTAAAGTCTGCTAAATTGGAACAATTAATTTTGTACTTAATGGACTTTATTTGTGCAGAATTAGTGCTGAAGTACAACTAAATATATACTTAGTATATTTCATTGTGCTAAAGTGGAACTATTGCAAGTATACTTTAAATATTTTGCATTTCGCAACTATAACGACATGTGAATAATCCTGCCCACTCTAAAGCGGTACTGAACTGCAGTGGAAACGCAAACCGTGCCGAGCCGAACCGTGCCGTGCCGTACTGAGCTGTACCGAGCCGAGTCGTACCACGCAGTGGAAAAGCGCCATAACATTCAAGAAGGAATTAGTACATACAGTAAAGATGCATTAAATTGGCATCAAAGTCTTTTATAATGTTACAGAGGATTTCTATTTAAAATCAATTCTGCTCTTTTTAACTTTCTTAACTTCTCAAATAATCCTAACAAAACAAACACATAGCACGAGTTATGTAATCAGATTACTTTGTTTTTAAGTAACAAGTAATGCATTACTTTTTTAATTTACAAGAATATATCCGAGTTACTTTTTCAAATAAGTAACACCAGTTATATTATAAACAAACAAGCAAACCCAGCCCTGATTTTAAAAGTAGCATAGTAATATTGTAATGCATTACTTTTAAAAGTAACTTTCAACACTGATGGTTTCCACACAAAAATAAAGCGTCACAACTGTTTTCAGCTTTGATCAGAGGAATAATTTTACAAAATATACTCAAATAGAAATAGTTCATTTAAATTGCAATAATATTGCACAATATTACTGTTTTGACTACATTTTTACGTCTTTAAAACGTTTAAACATATTACAGTACCAACCCAAAACTTTTGAACAGTATATTGTTATTCATGTTTAGGCAAACACACCTTTCTATGCACTACTGCGCTATTACTGCTACATTTATTACTATATTTATGAACGTTATGCCAGCAGTTTGCCATCACATGATGATCAAATGATAAAGACGAGCATTATATAACTGTATCCCAGTCAACCTAGCACTCAAAATCTCTCTCTAAATGCTCCATGCAAATTGCGATCAGCAGTAAATGTGTGCCTATATTTGCTGTATTACCTCATTTGCATAATTCCTTTAGTGAAGGTGGTAAAATAACACAGACAACACATGCAAATAAATGAAGCTATCGGTGTGCAGAGCATCATTAATGAATCCCTCCCATGCTTTTTCTTCATCATTTGGGGTTTTGATGTGATATTGTGCAGCACACATTTAAAGGCATTCATTGTGAGATTGGCTGTGCATCTATGTCACCTAAACATACACAGGTACTGCTTATTTATTTATTTTGAATGTGATAATAACACATGTATCTTTCTTTCATGTAATACAAGTGTTGTAATTGCTGTCAAACTCAAGCAAAGCATGTAGCTGATAGTTTTCAGTGGCTTCTGTGTGCATGTACGCATTGAGTGTTGAGCACTGCCTGTGTACTCCAGCTGCCTAAGTGCTTTCTAATGCCACCTAGTTTTTGAGTTAATGTGTGACAGCTGTTTAGCACACATTCCCCCTGAAAGCAGGTGAAGCGTAACACCTGGCAATTACATCTAAATG